TATCTTGTCGTTAGTTTACCCACGTCATAATGTATACGTATTGCTTACTTGCGGTTTTCGGACCCTCCATGCAAAAATATGTGTGGTGGAAAAAAAAACCAATAAAACTTCAACTGGTAGATTTCTTCTGTAATATCCACGAAGACTATCATAATGGATACCACATTTTGCCTTCAAAAAGTTAAAATCTCTCTCTCTCTCTCTCTCTCTCTCTCTCTCTCTCTCTCTGCATTATAGATTAATTTTAAAGAAATTTTCTCTGCTTTTTAATTATTTAATCTGTTATAGATTTTCTAAAAACTTTTTTATTCTGTTTTTTTTTTAAATAATTTATTCCGTTTGCCTTTGCTGTTAAATAAAATACTATTTTTCTCCTGTTTTATTTTCCAGATACAGTTTGTATGCTTTGTGATACATGCTATAGACGTGCTGTATATTGGATGCTGGTTTCCCAGGGCTTAAATATTAATGATTTGCCTGTTTCTGGTAGCTTTTCCCCAACTTGTCCTTTTCCTTAACTTCTACACACAGACCTACACAAAATGAAACAAAAAGGAAAACCAAGCCAGCACTAATGGGATATCCACGGAAAAGAAACTAAGTTGATTGTGATGATATTATATTCAAAGATATTAGTATATAGCAACGTAGTTATACTCACATATATACACCGAAAGGGATATATATGGTAAACACGATAGGAGATGACTTCGTTTATATAATGTATTTCACTCTTTCGGTTCCTAGATTTCATCTCGGCGCATTTTATAAAAAATATCCGTGGGTGGAAAAAGTCTGTCATATCTATCTATCTATCTATCTATCTATCTATCTATCTATCTATCTATCTATATATATATATATATATATATATATATATATATATATATATATATATATATATATATATATATATATATATATATATATATATAATGTACTTAAATAAATAAAAACAGAATGCTACAGTCCAAATTAAATAAAATCTTTTCTGTTAGCGTTTTCAGCCATGTTGGCTATTCATAACTGTCTGAAGAGCCAACATGTGACCGAAGTAAAAAAAAAAAAAAGCTTCTTTTCCATCATTGTCGTCAACAGAAGGTCGAAAGATTTAAAATTTAAGTGCTTGGATGTGAAAGAGTTCAAATGATGAAGAAACGCATCAAAACATTGCGTTTAGTTTGAAGGGAAAATCATTAATTTGTTTTAACCTAAATCAAAATTCTTTATTTAATATACTTAAATGACTGTATAGAGTGTTTATCAAAGACGTTTATATTTTTCCTCTGAATCAGATTGAAGTTTATTGTATCTTGGTTTTTTTAATTAATAACCTTCCAATTGTAGACATACCACATAATTCCTTTGAGCGGTCATTCAAAACCCTTCCATCCTGGATGGTGGATATTAAAGTTTTGATTGTTAATATGTTATAACGTACAATGTATTTGCTGGGAAGTTACCTATTCAACCAATTTAAAAGAGTATAATGTCGTTCCAGATTGTATTAGATTTATGTAATGAATGAATGTATACTCATTTTGCGTAAGGTTTAAGAAGGGCCAAAAAAAATCCAATGTATTGTGCATTTATCTCTTTTGTGAAGACCCAAGTCAGTTCCAATCATTGACATGTTGTATTTTCACCTTTCCAGGAAAATTAAAAAACTATAAGTGGTATCACATAATAAATATAGTTTTTTTTAACAGAAAAAAGTCTGTTGAACAAAGGTGTTGTACAATCTGGTCACAAACGATCCAAATCTTGATCTTATCTGATTCTAAAAAAAACTTGGTTATCATTTTCTGAAACGCGAGTAACTTTAAAAACATGATATCAGAAGGGATAGAGACAAGATGGAGTTGAAAAATGACTATTAAGAATACTTGGGTCCCCTGCATGTTCATTTAATATGATGAAACATGCTCTTATATCTAAGTAAGTCCAAATATTTATGTGAATTCTTGTGCTCTTATTTAAAAGCATATAGTCACGAATACATGCAATTACAACTGTAAATTACAATTACAGTAAATGCATTTGTGGCAAAAACTTTTTGTCTTAAATGCATTATTGCTATTTCTGTACAGCAATTTGATATAAAATTTATGTTTCCTTTTAATTCAAACATAATATTTAACCAATATCAATTATCATATTTTGTATAATCTAGTTTAATCATCTTTAAAATTTGGCCTAGATTTGTTTTTGTGATTAGTAAGCGTTAAATGTTTTCGTGGTAAAATTTCCCAATAGCCTATATCCTTGGAGAGAATACTGAAATGCGCTTTAATAAAAACTGAACCACTGGTACTATTGTAGCCAATATATGATGTAAGATAGCTCAGTCCATGTTCAGGAAAGTTAAATGGTGCTTGAAATATCAGAGTCACCACATATGACGTTAGTCTTGAATTACAGATTGAACTAATGATAGTTTCAAATTGACAAGCTTCATGTAAAATTTAGAGAGCTCTTGTAGATCATTATATAGTAGCCTTTTCATCTTCGGCCCCAAAGGTACAATTAACCTTTCTAAAACAACGATCCTAATATCTTCTCTTCATATCTCATATTACGTAACAATGTAATCAAAAAACATGTCTATTTATGCTTACTTTGTTCCATTCTTGATATTTATATAGAACTGAAACATCAAATTTATGAAAAAAAAATATTATATTATAAATATGGAAGGAAAATATTTACACAGACTATAATTAAACATGTAGTTTAATTTCAATTCTGTTTACATTTTGCATCTGATGAAGATGATAGTCTCTATCTATCCGCAAAGGCACATCATTGTACATCCGGGCACACTACCATTGTACAACCAGCACAGAACTTTTGCATGTATGCCTAAATTCCAGGTATTTCTATAAAATGATTAAGATTTTTTTAAAGGAATCATTTATAAATTGCATTGCATGACATGAATTGAGTTTAGATTCTGTCAAGTCATTTAATGATATTGTACAAGAATTCTTTGTAAATATTATTTGGCTTTTTTCGAATAAATTTGTGATGTTTAACGACATCAAAGTCTGTTCCATTTATCACAAATATCATATTCTTTATAGTTATAATTATAACTTGCAGGGAGATTACCCAATTTAGGCCAAAAAAGAAAATAATGTTGATCTCATTTTGTTCTCGTCACGAAATGGGCACATTAGTCTAAATATATATAATTTGCACAGACACTTGGCAAAAAGAAAAATAAATACAAAAAACATACAAACTGTGCTCAATGGTTTTTAATCAATCTTGAAGATCGAACAAACTTTTGATTGCCAGTGATAATGCATTTATGAAGGGACAAACATTTCTTTGATTTTTATAATGCATGTTTGTCAGATACGTTGTAAAATGAACCTTTTCAATATATATCTATGAAATAACTTCGCTTAGTTCATTGTACATGTATTATATAATTGACAATCACTTCAAAAGCACATATAAATCGTTTTATTTTTTTGTCAGAGTAATTTTTTTTAAATCAAAGATGCCGGTCCTGAACATATTGGGCATATAAAGAGCTAGATGAAAAAGATTCAAATATATCAGCAAATATTAAAAATCATTAAATATCAATAAGTTTAAATTCAGTAGTTTTTTGGTTGGTGATATTATTAGTTTGATAACACAAGAGACCACCATGAAATAATGAGAGAAAAATACGTTAATAAAATTGATCAATTAGCAAAGTGTGCTTATCCATAAGTATTAATTTCATGAATGGCATGTAATTTAGCTCTCATATTGCCATATAGTATTTTTTCTATCACGCAGTTGTTTTACATCATTCTGTTACATGCACAATTTCCTTATCTTTATATCTATGTAATCAACAAAGTCAATAATTATAACATGCTATTCTCATACTTAATCACCGGGGTTCCTCCTTTTCCTCTCTCTCTCTCTCTCTCTCTCTCTCTCTCTCTCTCTCTCTCTCAATGCAGGAGGTTCCTGTACTTTTATGGACGCATTAAAATCAATTAATGAATGTTTATAATTACTCAAAAATGTAGATGCATGGCAAACATAATTTTATAAATTTAGCTTTTGTTGTATTTTACATTCCCTATTATTGTTCAATTATTGAATCGTATTTGTTTAGGTATTTTTATTTCAAAAATTAAAACAATCAAATTTTTTCTTTGTTATGGATTAACCAGAGATGTCATAGAAATTAAAGAATATTTGCTCTGTCGATCCCTTTTTTGAAGGAATAGTTTGCCAATTATCTTTAACTAAGTAACGAAGTTATTCTACGAATAGCAAACGGAACAAATTAAACACTGCCGCCCATTCGCTTATCTGATAATCTCCATGGATAAAGAAAAATACACAGCTGCATATTGGTAGCATTCAATATTACATGGAAAATAAATATAATTATGTTTCTCGCAGAATTTCAAATTGTACTCATTCTGAAAGGTATTGAATTTAGCTTATGCCAATTTCACGTTTGATTACATACCTATGTCAAGAAGCCAGAATATTAGTCAATTAGTTTGTATTCTTAATATAAATAATCATACCTGTTCAATCGCAAGTTATGATGGAAATTATTTCATATTGTTATATAACAAAGGTAAAAATTGATTTCTTCATGTCCATTTTGGGCTATTATAAGACAGAGATCGAACCATTTAATCTGTGGTTCAACGGCTTCCCTCAATTTTAAGCTTGGCGAACCGTATAAATGGAGAAGACCAACTCCAACTAATAATTTCTCACTTTCGTTGAGCTGATTCATTAAGTGAAGCTATCGACTCTATGGTATAACGAATGCTATGAAACTGGAAACCAACACTTTCACTATCCTATTGGAAAAGCAAACTAAAGCTGCAGCCTACAACTTCATTTTAAATGTGTATGCGGGGTTACTAGGGATGAGATTATATAAATAACTGTTTTGAGAATGTGAGTTTAATTTTTAATTAGGAACCTCTCAGTGAACACGAGTTCATGGTGTTTAAAATTCATTTTTAATGGAAAACTCGCTAAACACAAATGAGGAAGTTATACAATCGGTAACAGAGAATGTTATTAATTGTAAAGAAATGAAAAATGATTCTGAAAAAAGTGAAGAACAAGAGTTAATTGTCGTTAGTGATGGTAAAGAGGGTGAAACATCGAAGGAAGAAAATTGTGCTAACGACAACAGCAAAGACAATAAGGATGCAGAAAAGATCACTGTAGCAAAACGAAGACCTATGTCAACAAAAAGTACTCGAAGTAGTGAATTCAAAGAAAAGGAGAAGAAAAAACGTCCCATTGGATCTGGTAAGGGAAAGCATATTGTGAAAAGACGAAGTAGTTCATCTGATATTATTAAGAAAAAACCACATATATTTCATAAAAAAGTAACGAAAAAACTAGAAAAGTCCAAGCAAAATGGAAATGTATCCTCAATAGAGAGCAGTTCTCAACAATGCAATTCAGAAACAGATTCAAAACGAAGTACAGAGGAAGAAACTCTGAAATTAAAAGACACTGAGAACAGACCACAAAGCTCATCGAGTAAAAATTCAGAAAAAAATGCTGGAAATGGATGCATATCCGTGGAAAGTGACAATAAAGAAGAGAAATTAAATTCCACGGCTCATGAGAATAGTTCAAAAAGATTTGGTATCAAAAAGACATGGCAAAGAATAAAATCAGTGAAAGAAAAAGGCTTAATTTCTTCACAAGGAAACGGTACTCTACCGTCAGGACACGAATGTAGGCCAATTATACCAGACAAGGAAAAACACGAAACTGTGTTAAAGAAAGATGATCAAGGAAATGAAACCAAAGAAACTCTCACACCAGAAGTAAATCAAATTTTACAAGATTGTCCTGTGAATGAAGCCAGTTCACAACAGTCTGCTGAACCAACAGTTCAGTATGGAAATGGCAATAAATATGCTGAAGATGAAAAGACAAAGGCGTTGGTTGTTAATTCGGACCCTTACATTCATTCCGCTATACCATATCTTCCATTGCAATTATCTGTGATCTGTTTAGTGATGAACATATTTCTACCCGGATCAGGTAATTTGATTTTAACCATCATAAACATAAAGTAATTACAAATAAAAGATTATAATATCCATGATGAATATATATATATATATATATATATATATATATATATATATATATATATATATATATATATATATATATATATATATATATATATATATATATATATATATATATATATGTATGTATGTATGTATGTATATATATGTATATATATATACGTTTTATATATAGTACATATAAACGTTAAATTAAAAAAAAAAACTTTTTCACAAGAGCTTCATTTCAACTAAAGGAAGAGTGAACTTCAAAATTATGAGAAAATAGATCAAAGATTTACGAAAAAAATAACATAATTCTTGGGAAGAAATGGCAATATTTATTAGATTCTTTTCCCTTGCATTTTACTTACCTTTTGAAAGCTTTTGGTAAACCAATTTCTGCTTATGATTATTTACAACATAAACACATTATTCGATAATTATGGTTCAATGTTGCAACAAAACTACGCTTCCACTTTAGAATTAACACGATTTTCGTTCCAACTTTATTACAGAAATTTCTCGTTATGGATGAACATTAATAAACGTAGGTCGTCAAATCATTAAGATTTCCTTTGAACTTAATGGGAAATTATAGTTTTATCTCTATTTGCCGGTTAACATTTCACACTTACAATAAAATGATCAGTTCACTGCCTATTAGGTAGCAATTCATTGTTCTGTCACAACACTTTACACAGGATTTCTGAGAAAACGGATTTGCCGAACCGGATGTGTTGTGTGTATTCTTCTGCACCGATGAATAATTTTTTGCTGTAAATCACTTGACTACTGCGTTATTGGGTACATGTGGCTTTTTAAGTTGTTTTCCTATAATGGTAATTTGAGAAAAACGTCAGGATTAAAATGATGATTTTAAAGACATAAAGAAGTAGAACGCATACAATGAATTGCTACATGGGTTTGGGAAATAGAGATTCCCTTTTATGGGTCAAATTTGTGTTTCAATGAATGTTTAATTGAGAGACTTAAAAAACTTTAATTTGCACATATTTCCTAAAACGCTCAACCTTACTTTAATGATTAAGTTTGTGGATACTAATATACAGACAGAAAGTTTATTTTCACCCATTTCCGGACTTTTCGTAACTGTTGTCCTATTAATGAGACTCATTTTGGACAGACGATAACAGTATTTAAACAGGGTAGAACTATCTGACATTTTATGTTTTGTTTAGAATTTTGTGGGTATGACGTTACTAACACCTTATCTGCAAAGTCCAGAAAATCCCATTGGAGTAGACTTGGAGTTGAATTCCAATTACCTGACTTGCTACTTTGCGATAGAGCTGCATTCGTACAATCGGCCTTTAAAATTGCAAATCAATGTCCATTTCCACCCTGTCTTGCTTATCGGCTTCTTTTACACGGCGCTGATTGAATAAATTGATGGCTAATTGATTTAACTGGTACTCCACACTGACGTGCGATGGAATCTATTTGCTTCTTTACATTGATATTCTGGTCCGCCTTGATACTTTTTTCCGGAATTACCGAATACTTGTGCTAATCTGCAGAGGTCTTTAAAAAAGAATATGTAAGAGGCTTTATTGAGTACATTAAAATTATCAAATTAAATCGAAAAAAAAAATGATGCCATGCTTTAACAAAGTCATTGATTTTTTTATATACAAAAGGTAATTTAATGACTGGAAAATTTCATTGCAGTATATAAGGATTTATTCAAGTCTCGGTCAATTCTTTTTTAATGGAATGAAAATCAAGTGTGGAATGTTAATTCAAAAAAGAACTTTCGTCAAAATTTCTTGAAAATTAATTCTTTGCAGAACTATACAAAACAGGCAGTACATTTAACTAACAATACGTGATTTTAAAAAAAAAATCTTTATGCATACTTTCTTATTCAAAAGCATGATTTATACACCAAACACACACAAATATTTACCTGCTTTCCATTATTTCAAATCTTTAATTCATAATGCATCTCATAATTAATAAATGTTGAAAAAGAATTATTATGAAACTGCTTATACATTTTATGTGGTTTGTAGGAACTGTCTTGAGTGGGTTTGCCATCCTTTTCTGTGGAGAAACACGAATTCAGACGAAAGAGGACCAAAAGACGGTAACGCTGTGTGTTAATCTCTCGGTGGGCGTGTCCCAGCTATTCACCGTCACCTTCCTGTTGGTTGGATGGTTCTGGAGTCTTGCTTGGGGAATCAAATTGGTCACACTCTCTGGTTTGTATATTACTTTTCAAATCTGGTATATAGTATTATAATAGATAGCAGACTTGAAGTTTGTAGAATCTATTAACTATATGATGCATACTAATCCAACAATCACATGTACCTAAAGCAGGTAGGGATGACTTATTTAATAAAGCAAATAATGTTTAGGGGCACTGCTTAAACATTTTTCAAGGATATCTGTGTTGACAGAGAATCATCAGGAGAGCGGGGCATCCAGATTCATAGTTTACACTCATCCCCGTCCTAATACATAAAGAAAGTATTATAGTTTGAGAAAGAAAGCTGAGTGAGGATTGAGAATGAAATCCTTGGAATATGTGACAAAGTTCGAGGGTATTTAGGATCTCTCCCTCCGGCGTTTTTTTTTTCGGCCAGGCCTTTGGAACCATTTGTATTTTGTAAATGATTGCTAAAATCAAGATGGCATAAATGGCCTGAAAAAAAATTTGAAAATTACTTTGTTCAGAGTATTTCTTTTAATTTTAGTTTTACAATATTTGCAACTAAAATTGTGCCTTGCAGTCTTGATGAAATTATAACAAACATCCAAGATTTGAGAATTGTTTGAAATATATGTAGGTGTTATATTCAGAACAACAATCCTTGCAATGCAAAACAAAATTTGATATTTGGTTGTTTAAACACAGGTCGTTAGCTATTGATTAAAGACCCATGAATCTAAATCTACTCTGGATTATCTAAATCATTTTAACGTTATAAAGATTTTGATGTTACTGTGCTCTTTCTATTAAGAGTCAAATTAGATCATTTGAGACTAAAACTTTCCTCTTTAATCTTGATTCTTCTCTAAATAATATAAATTATTAAATCCTTATTTAAAAAAAAATTAATATTACTGGTCCCTTTGTATAAAAAAAAAGTCAAATTAGAACATTGAGACTAAAACTTTTCTCTTACTTCTGATATGAGCAATGTCGTTATGCAGAATAATCAAGCACTGTGGAAGAACAACATTAGTGATATTTTAAATACGATAAATGGAAATGAAAGGAGGATTTGCTACCTTTGTTACCATCATTTTAAGGTTAAAAATCCATCAAAATAATTTTATCCTTTATTCCTTCCAAACAGGTTACTTCATATCCATTGTGTGAATATAATTTGTCAAAGGAAAACAAAATATCAATTTTATTGATGCGTTATTCCATCGTAATATAATAATAATATATACATGTATTATAATAATCAAGAATAAATAATTCTACACAATGTTAAGTTTAAAGAAACGTTACAGCTTACATGTGAACTTTGTTTCTTTGAATTTTCCGGGATTTTTTCTTAATTTGAAACTTATTTCTAAAATGTCTACTTAATAGTACTTATGTAAGCTTGTTCTAAATTAGAGACAAAGCTTTTTGACGACTTTATAAATACTGAATCTTCGTTAATTATTTCTGCATTCTTCGGTTACACAAGCAAATTAATTTATAATGCCTTACTATGAAAAACCATGGGTTAGGAGATAAATCATTCAGTGTTACCAAAAACAAAGTCTGTGGACAAGTTAGCTAGAAAGTTCTTTTCTGAATCAGTAAATAATGATTGTTTTATCAACAGGGAACCAAACTTCATACAAATCACCAATTCCCTTCTTCATTTATTCCCTGTATAGTTGTAGTATTTATCATGGTTAAAATGTGAGGCATTTTACAAAGCTAACATTATATTTTATAAAGTGCAGGATTCAATTGTAACTTTTATGTTTGTAAAATTTTGAAAACATGTATTAAAAACAGAATAATTTTAAGCAAAAATCAGTAGCATGTACATGTATGTACATTTGACCGTGCAGCACAGCATTTGGAAATGAAGATTGTAATTCGACTGGATGATAATATTGCATTGAGATTTAGCTACCAGTAGAGATCGTTCGTTATTATATTTTTTATGTTTTATATATATTTTTATGATTTATATATATTTTTTAATTTGTTTATTTTATTGTTTGCTATCCTTATATCCGTGAAAATTATTACTCACGGTAATCAATTTTTGGGTATTAATTTATTTATGATAAAAAAAAATATTGTTTTCAAATTTAGATGTTTTCATTTCTTGCATGTTATAGAAAATAACAGGTTGATATTGAAGCCTGCTATTGTTTCGGTATGACAAACAATTTATTGCAGATATGTTCAGGAAATATGAAGATTTATTATTCAGCCAACAAATATCCTTGGGATCTTTTTTTTTTTTTTTTTTTGGTTCATTGAATAAATCTTCATATTTCTAGAACATTCTTGTAAATGTATAATATTCGTGAGGACATACGCCGAAAATATGGTTGATGTATGTAAAAATTGTCCTTTTCAAGGAAAGTTATACATACATTTAACAAGCACATCAAGATAACATGTACTACAAGGGCACCCCAGTGAGCAAAGTTTTATTGAATATTTGTTGTACAAAGACCTCAAACGTGAGACAGATCAAACGAGTAAATGAGAGTTCCTGAACCATCATACTTTGTTATGCTCAGGACACAATTCTTCTTTTAATTATTAAGGAATTTAGGGGTCTCAAATTGCAATTTAAAGTGTGAAATCTGCAAATTTTGCAATGTCAGAATCGCAACACATTTATGCCTCAATAATTCGGGCTCAAAAGAAGAGAAAACATACACAAAACCCATATTTACCCATGTTAACGATGTAAAGTTAAGGACCAGAAATATCACTTGAATGATGTACATGTACATAGTATTGGTTAAATGTTTACGTGAATTGGATGTATTCTTCCATTAATTAATTGAATTAATTCCTTCAAATTTCTGTTCTTGGTTTTTGTTGTTTATTGCAATGAAAGAGATTTAAAAATATCTTTTTTGGTTCATTACATACATAATAGTATATAAATAATTTCTTATTGTAAAGTTATTATTTATTTCTTCTATAGACTGTTTCACGATAATTGCGGTGCTCTTCTATTAATTTGCAGGGCAAAATGATATATTTTGGTTAAATATGAAGTGAAAGTAATTGTTTAATATACGTCATTTAAATATCTGTCATCAAAAACTCCGCCAAACGTAATAGTACCGCAGTTATCGTGATAAGCTTATATTATTGTTTATTACGCCTGTAGATGGATACAAGATAAATGTGTATAATATGTATATGTGTAAATATATCTATTTTTTACAAACCATGATGATATATCGACTTAATTTTGTTATGAAACAAATATCATTTTTGCACTAGACAGAAACGTGAGATTTTTACACGTCCTCGCCTCTCTTCATATTTTTGCCTTTTCTCAAAAGCCTAGTAAATCAATTCAAGAAGACAAATACAAATGTTGCCCTAAAAAATGTCGTCAATATCAATTAAATATTCTGGCTAATTGATCAGGGAACTGATAAAAAAAATTTAAAATCAGCTCCTTTAAATATTGTACGATTAATAAACAAAAGTGAGTTCATTGACAAATATTGAATCGCTACATGTATATACATGGACGTACATGTGTGACGTCGACACATAAAGTGTTTTTAGTTTTTGTTTTTTTTTTTAAATCGCACCCCACCCCCTTTATCAGATTCCTCATTGCTGCATGTTCAAACTTATTTTACATCTTTATGTACTGAACCTGAATCATTTAGCTAATACCAAACTCTCTCTCTCTCTCTCTCTCTCTCTCTCTCTCTCTCTCTCTCTAATTTTTCGATCATTATGGGAACAACTTTAAGTTGCAAAAAGCTGGTATTTACTTTATTTTCATGGATGATAATTTGATAATTCAATACAATAAATTAACCATTGTTATGATACCTCTACTGATTTTCCCCTATATAAAATTAGATAGTTTGATTGAATAATTCTCTAGAAATCGCTGGACTAATACCCGTGCGTTAGTCAAGTGAACTAATCCCTGCTTTGACAGTTAATTCTCGGTTATCCGCAATCCTCTAAATTTTACTTTTGTATTTGTATAATTAAAAATTTAAAAAAAAAAAATAAGTAAAAAGATATATCATTAAGAGAGTTAGCAAGATTTCGGTTCCCTTGACCAGGGCTTTTGTCATGGTCTTTGGGAACTTGAATCTTGCTAACTCCCTCAACAATACACCTTAAATGTATACTAATGTTACGTATTTTTGAACTCTCAAGATACTTCAAAAAAGTTCTCAAAATCTCTTAAAGTTTAAGTTTGTTGTCCTAATTTTTTATTGTCCAAAACGATGATTTTTTTTTTTAAAGAAATACATTAATTAGGTCTATGTTACTTATGAGGAATTTCGGAACGGCCAGTAGATTAAGATCGGTCTGTACAAAAGTTGTATAATTTGTGTAGAATATATAATATATATATTTATTGTAGCAACCACTATGTCGATATATATTCTCATTTTTTAAGCTGAACAAATATATACTTAAATAAGACATTTCATAGGTTATTTTTTTCAATAGAAAATATAAATCTCCATAGTATTGGTAAGGAATTCCTTAGTTATTCTTTTTTTAATAAGTGTTGCACAAGTGACTGATTAATTAACTCGCGTGAAAAGACAATTAACTTTTACAAGTACAAAGTTTAATTCTTAGTCATTTTTAATAGGAAAAAGATCCTTGGCCTCCTAACTTGAAATAGCCATATGTGTTTGTAATTTGATCATTCTTTGTTATTTATATCATACGCTGTTCGCAATGAAAGTAATGTCGGTGCTTATCATATAGTCATTTAAAATAATTTAGCATGAAGTTTTGACCACAATAAATTACTATTAGTCTTCATTTAAATAGCGACGATTTGGAAACGTGTCTACCATACTCTGCAATTTAAAGGTACAGATATAGAAATTTAAGGTTTATACAACTTATGTGTTAGGATTGTCAAGCTATCAGCTGATAATGGTTCAGAAAGTAAATTAGTTCAAAGATATTACATGTATAAGATTTAAGAGTGCTTTTGACTCAATCGCACCTTCATATGCTGTAGATACCAGTGTTATAAAACATTCATGAATATTCATAAAATTTCAACTTTTATTAAAAGTGGTGAAGGATGGAAACTAAACAGGCAATAGTTTAATTCAGTTCGCAATTGATTCGATTAGCTGGTTTGCTAACAAGCAGTTGCAAAGTAATGGTATTGTAGATATCTAAAATATGTGGGGGGTTTTAAATTTTGAATTAGAATTTTTCTTTATGATGAAAATTTAACATGTTACTCTAGATGTGATAAATGATATAATTACAATTTTTAAAGATGAAATGCGTCACAATTACCAGAACAATCTATACACATATTTATTAGCAATGTAGCATAGGAATGGAATTTACTAACCGATTAAATATTATTCTAACAATTTCAAACATTCCCAACCTTCAAACATACGAAATACATGCATACATTTTCTGACGATATGTAAAGGTTAAGGTTTGCAAAACAAATTTCATTTTTGTTTAACGTATTAATTGAAAAAAAAAACACTTTGCAAAGTGCATTCTGTAAGTACTCAGTTATCTTTCCTGGATATTCTGCTTCATCGTCGAATGCCCTCGGGTGGTCTCCTCTTTTACACGTCATGAGTTGAATTAGCGTACAATGTAGAAGATGCTATTATCAATTCACAGATGCCTATGAATTAGTTTTATTTGTAGCAATATGCACACAACTTGTGTTTAATTTTTTTTAAAAGCAGGCCGTTTTAAATTCTATATGTTAAGCATGAATTTGGGATTTTTAGCTCACCTCGACGAAGTCGAGATGAGCTTATGCTATACCCCCGGCATCGGCGTTGGTGTCGGCGTTAGCGTCGGCGTCCCGGTTAAAGTTTTAGGAGCAAGTCCATTCCCAAGTAACTATAAGCCCTACCTGGACCAACCTTTCATGGATGATGCATCTAGGGATGGACACTACCACACTTGCTTCTGATGCTGGATCTGACCTAGATTTTCCACATGAGTGACCAGGTTAAAGTTTTTGGAGCAGGTCCGTTCCCAAGTAACTATAAGCCCTACCTGGACCAAACTATCATGGATGATGCATCTAGAGATGTAGAGATGCCGGATCTAACCTAGATTTTCCACATGAGTGAATTTTAGCCATATTTTAACCAAATTAGCATGGATGATGTATCTAGGGATGGATACTTCCAGACTTGCTTTGGATTCTGAATCTGACCTACATTTTCCAGATGAGTGACCAAGATATTTTTTTGGAGTAGCTCTATAATATTATGGACTGTTATGATAAACTTTGTATAGATGGTGCATCTAAGGATGAAAACTTCCAGACTTGCTTTGGATTTTGGAACTGACCAAAATTTTCTTGAGTAGTAAACAAGTTAAAAGTTTTTGAGAAGGTATTTCCAAGTAACTATAAGTCCTACTTAAGTCAAACTTGCATGGATATTGATCTTTGGATGTACACGTCTAACTGGAAAAAAAAAATATGATGTGAAATTTGCATTACTTATAGATAAAATTCGTCGAGGTGAGCTTCGTAATCTTTGATTACATATGTTTTAAAGTGTTTATCACAAATTATCAGTAAAACATGTAGCTAAAATTATTTCTTTTTTAATTCGTTTTTACGTATGATAGGATTTTTCCTAATTACTTCTGAATATCCGAATATGTAACAATCTGACATCTTTAATTACTTCATTTTTACGTATGATAGGAATTTTCCGAATTACTTCCGAATATGTAACAATTTGATATCTATGATTACTTCAAAGACTAATCTCAGTCTATTTGCTGGTTTGGATGAGTGAGCTTATTAAAGCATATTTCTTTTCACTGCAGTATTTAAAAATAAAAAATGAGTTAATTTAGAGATTAAGATTGTTATTCCAGTAAATATATGTATTTCTTTGCAGAGAAGAACTGTATACCTTTATTATATTGCAACATCAATCGTAATTCAAGATATTGTACTCCAAAGATTGTAATTCTTGGCATTAAAAGATCCCTTCCGGTTATTTTTTTTTTCATGGAAAGCATGCATTCATTTGAATGTAGTGGGCGATGTTTCATATCGTTATCAATATTTCAATCGTAATTAGGTCATTCACTGGAACTTTTGTTTCCTTGAGTTGAGGACCGTGACTGATACAAAATGCTTTTATTATCTTTTTTCAGTGGAATACAAAAGACATTTAAAACAGAAACGAGAGAGAGAATTACAAGTCATTGCTTTGAAAGCCTTTGGATCATCCATGCAAGTGCGTCCAATGTTTTCCGTGGTTACCGAGTAATGAGAAATGGTGACGAATGGACGCGTACCTGTCAGTGCTATAAATCTTTCCTGACAATTGATGATACGTTAAAATAATATGTTACCGTGTTCTGCATGGCAAAAGTATATAGATTACAAATAAAACACGTTTGTAAATTTGATCTATCATATCTCATTTGTTAATTATCTAATTGTCTGTAGATGTAGAACAAGCAGATCGAATCATGTTTCTCAGATATACAGGATTATATTAGAATGAGCAATACTTTCATATATAATTTGATTAAATCTGTTATTTAACTTTACTACACTTTCTCTTTTATTGATATTGTTATCTGGGTTTTGAAGGTAGGCTTCTTTCCTATTCTGCCTAAAAGTCTTATTAATAAAAGGTACTTAATTGCAAATATACATGTGGAAAACAATGAGAGTAAAAAAGAAATACCATGTTAAAGACATCACTTTCGCTTTAATGTGGTTTTGGTTTTTAATTTATGTAACAGCTTGCCTCTGAATGTTATTCTCGAATTCAAGGCCATATAAAAACAAGATTACTTGGACCATATTCAAATATGACAAAAAATTACATTCATTATTATTATTATTATTATTTTTTTTTTTTTTTTTTTTTTTTTTTTGAAATACCAAAAGAAGAAAAATTATTTGATAACTTATCAAATTTGCAAAATTATTAAAATACCAGAGATAAATTCAAATAAACATATCATTTCTATCGATATTTGGAAACGTTTTCATCGATATTTGGAAACGTTTTAATTTTCCTTTGCTCAGTAGTAAGGACGACGTAATTTTCATAACACATCAACTGTTAAAATGTTATTAAAGGTGTAGCTAACATTGAAAAAATATATTTGCAAACATCGGGCATCGTAGAAAAATTATAAGAAATTCGTTTTGAGTTGTTCTTTATAAAAATACTTAAGGCATTTTAAAATAAAATCTTTCACTGTATCATTAGTAAAATATTTATATAAAGATTATTCACAATATGAAACAATAACTTATCTACCCATCAGTCATACATTATGCATGTAATATCCAGACAGCTAGTAACAAGACATGAACACATGAATTCTACAATATAATTGATAGATAAGTATTGATGATTACTAAAGTGTAGAGAAAACATACTTAGATGTTTCTAATCATCGTCCAGTAAAGATGTTTTTTATCTTTCTGCCGATATCTGTTCCTTTCTTGGGAACACTACTTGTCTCTTCAGCAGTCTCCGCTATTTTTTCAAGTCTAGTTTCCTTTGGAAGAGCGTCTGTCGCAAACAGGGTTTTATTTTCAGTATGTTTCATTCCATCTATATCTCTGGTTACACTAGAAACTGAATCAGATACTCTTGTTTGCACCGTAGTCTCCGTAGTGTCATTTACGGTTAGGGCATCGTCACCTGAGATATTTAGAAATATGGCCACCTTGCTTTCAGTTTTGTTAACAATAGCTTGTGTTACCTGTATTATTGATGGAGTATGATCTGTACGTATATCGGCAGACATTTTCTCTGTTTCATTAACGTTGACATCAGATATGAATTTCAATGTAGGCTCAGGTTTCTCAATAATTATTTCTACCTTTTTAACACCATCTACAGCTGAAGGAACTGTATTTGTCGATGCGTTGTTCACATTTGCTCTTACGAATTTGATTCCAAGATTTTGCATGAAATCCAAAACTTCCTTTCTCGTACGTTTTCCTGATTTTTTAATTATTCCCTCCAGCCAAGATGGAACTATTGGGTCTTTAGGCTCTATTTTCACTCGTGAGATTCTAATCACTGCCTATGAAGCAAAAATAAATTGGTAATCCGCAAGTACTAAAGTAAACATTTCAAACTACTTACTCTGGACCATAAAGACTAACCTTTGTATCATCAACCAAGTTCTGAAGCATGCAGAAAAGCAAGCTTAGTGTGAAGATTGACCTCATCCTTTCATTACATTGACCAAAGTTTATTCAACTATATATGTGTTTTCCTTTATACTTTGTTTTTGCACGAATCACTGAGCATGAATGTTAGCAGAGGCGTGTTGTAGCTTTGAAATAAACAAAACAGACAGTGCAAACATTAAACTGGTGAAAATGCAACTTAACAAATTTTACCCATTTATACGAATAAATATCTTGTACCAGAAACAATAGACTGTTCTGTAGAGTGGAAATATTGTTAAAAATGAATTTCTTTAACACAGCATTGTTTCTTGTGAAATGGACATTCCCTTGTTATCGAAGAGGAGTCTCCAAGTAAATTGATCTTTCTTTTAATTTCAATACTTATTTTCAGTCAATTGCATCGTCAGTTTTAATATGGTATCATTTAATGTTGCTATCTCAAGAAAAAGACTCAATTCAAACATATATCTAAAACGGTTTTTGGGGGATGGAGGGGGTTGGGAGTTAAATCTGTGGAAACATTTTTGTCTTTATACTTTCTTTTGAATTTTTTTAATTTTTTTTTTTTTTTTTTTTTTTTTTTTTTTGCCAAAGAGTAAATGGTATGCGATAAATCTATCGGTACTACAATCACTTAATTCGTAGAGTCATATTACGAAGCATTATAGACTCGAGCTCATCTGACCAACCTTTACGTTTCGCTTCGAGTTTAATCTGAATATCCACACTATCAATTTCCATGATCAAAATCTTCGAATCAAGTTACTGTAATTGTATGTATGGCAAGGCTTGCCATACGTATGCCTCAAATAACAAACTAAATAAATCTCTGAACAAAACTGCTATGCAACGCATGCTCACAATAAGCAATTTAGATATGTTTTGAATTTATAAAATTTCTTAGTTTTCTTGACAGAGATAAACAATAATGTATACAACCACAATCAAAATTTAATATATATGTATATTAAACAATTAAGTTTACAACAACAAATTCAAAGAAATAAATACTAGTGTATATACAGAGAAGGAACAGTTCATAGATTTTACATCAGAACAGCGCCGTTTGTCCATCTATTCTTCACTTATCTTTGATTTCGAGGTATATATCTAATTTCTTCTAAATCTCTTGAATCGGCGCAAGGCTCTTTTAGCTTTTCTAGCCTTTCGCTTTGCTCTTCTTTTGGCTCCTTTCTTTGATTTTTTCGCCTCCCTTTTGGCCTTTCGCTCTGCTAATTTTTTTGCTAGTTTTGCTTTTCTCTCCTTTCTTTTTTCCTTCCTTAGTTTTCTTGCTGCTTCTCGTGCTGCTTTTCGCGCCTCGGCCTTCGCCTTTCTGTGAGCTTTCCTTAGTTTGGTTTCTGCGGTCTCAACCTTCTTTGCCGTAATGTTCCTTTCTTTCTTGGCTTTTCTGGCAGCTTTCTTTGCTTTTCTGATGGCGGCTTTCTGTTGTTTTGTCATCTTTTCAGATTTGGAAGCAGGTGATTTTGAATTGATAGAACCTTTGGAAACTGTGTTCGTCGCTTCAGACACAGTAACTTCAGCCAAGGAGGTTTGATTATCTTTTCCTTCTGGAGAAACAGCTAAGGGATCCCCAAGAGAATTTACAATCGATTTTGTTGTAGTGTTTACTGGAGCTTCCGTAGCAGAGTTTGCCTGTTGTTCTACTAGCTCGGTTGTTGAATTTACTGTCTCTGCCGTAGCCGTTGCATCGATCTGAATATTGTTTGTTGATCTGCTTGGCGCTACATAGGTAGTTTCAGCAACTTGGGCTTGTGTCGCTGTTTCAATAGGATTTCCTTCCGGGGCTTTTACTGTGGGCTTTGAGAGAGAAGTGGCATATATTTCAATTGGAGGGTCCACCACTGAATGGACATTGCTTATAACATTACTTGGAGCACCCGTCGAAGGATCGGCCACTGGAGCTTCGGATGTTATTTCAGCAGGTTTTACTTCCGGAGTCATTGTGAGTTCTGATAAAGTAGTGGCAGACATTTCAAATGGAGAATCCACCACTGACTGAGCATTGTCTCTGGTCTTAATTGGAGTCTCGATGGTAGAACCCATCACTGAAGCTACAGATGTAATTTCAGCAATATTTGTTTCCTGAGCTTTTGGTTTGGGTTCTGATATAATTGTGGCAGAAACTTCTGGTGGAGGATTGACAACAGTTTCGTTTGGTGTTGGGTCAGATATGTTTTGACCCGTTGTTGCGGTGGTTGCTGTTTCGTAAGGTGGATTCTCAATTGTACCCTGTAGACCTGCTACCTCCAAAGCTCGCTTTCCTATATTTGAGAATTGTCTTATTTAATTTGCATTTAAAATAGAATACTTGTAAGTCTTTGTTTTGAATGAATAAAGTATTATAACAATTTCATGATACATCATACTTGTATTTGTATGATTTCCATTTCAAAGCATATCTTACCTCTTATTCGTCCATTGAAACCTTCTAGCGGAACCTTTTGAAAGAAATGTTATTTCTTTAAGTTTGATATTTGCACAAATATAAAAAAAAATATTATAAAGTAAGACAATTGAAAATTGAAACTTCATATTTGGGGAAAGTATTTTAATCCTACCCTTTTTGAAGTTTAGATAATTAATGCAGATAAATGAGTAAATGTTTATCGTAGATTACTTATTGTCGAACTTGAAATTAAGTGAATTATAAGAGCATATTTTTCTTACAGATATTTCAGCAAATTACCTGTCTTGATTCCACTATAAAACCAATGCAGATCAAGGTGAGTATTCCTGCCGCAGAGACCCTCATTGTTGTTACTGCATTGTGGTCTCTGAAGCTTTCGAATTTATACTATTCAACAATAAATTCATGTAAATTTATGATAAGTTTTATTGGATAACATTTTTGAAGAAACTCCTCTTTTCCTCGCCTGTCAAAATACTAACGGATGGCTTGAGAGAAATATGCATTTGTTCTCCTTTTTTGGAAATTTGCATGAAATTTGCAACAAATGCCTAATTTGCATCTCTTGATAGTAACTGTTTGGTACAGAGCGCGTGAACCTAAGTATGATGAAAAAGGTTCTATTCAAAAGTACTTCAGTCCATAACTCTTCAAAATATATCTTTTTCTGTAGATGAGAGAGCTAATACATTATCGAGAAGGCATATCATCAAATGTGTTACTCTAGACATTTTTTTCTAATTGATCATATATTTATTATTAATAATAATTACGCACTTTTTGCCATGCATGTGCATTAATTTTACAGTTTGTGCATCATTTGATGTGGATTAAGGAAATGTTAAATCTAGTATTGCTCAACTGTTCAGCTGTTCAAGTTGAGGATTTATATTATTTTGAAGTACAGTAAAACTTGCTGAATCCGGATGTTGTGCATTCCGGCATGTTGTTCAGTCCTGTGTAATATTTTAGTCCCTTTAATTTCCTTTATAATTTGTGTTTAATAAATGTTGTTCAATCCGGATTTTGCCTATTCTGTAAACCGGCCGCTATATAAAGAACTAACTGCTCATAATTAGTACAAATTAAATAACTCTTCTAATCCAGCCACTTATTTTTACCTGTACCCGCTGGTTATTAGAGAAGTCTCGCATGGGGTAATTATTGTCCCAATAATGATCTATCCTCTATCGATGGTTTAGATTTTAACAAACGTGATAAAAAAAATCATTAATGGCTCAAGTAAGGCGAGGAAACTAGCAAAAGAACGAGTGATGGTGATGATTGCGTGTAGCATGTCTGTAGAAAAACTTGGAGACTCATTCATGACCTCCTTTCTACTTTTGTTTTCTGTGCGTTTGTTCCGTTTGTGCCGCTAGTTTACAACGACCAAAACGACAGAAGATTTTGATCCAATATTCATTATAACATTTAAAATTAAAAATACAGTGTCTAAATATTCAAACATATTAATTTTAAAAGAAAGAAATTAATTAGGAATCTGTCCCTAACAAAATAATATTTACAGCTACGATGAGGTTTTGGAGTTTGTTTAAAACATTTAACGATTTTCAAATTTAATAAATGACCAAGAAGAGATATTATATTTCGTTACTGAATAAAAACCTTAAACAGAAATGAAAATCCTAATGAACAAACAGAGTTCAAAACAAACGAAATAGACGAGTTTTTCTAGTGAAACGTAAAAAATTACACATTTGATCAAGTATTTATTTACCACTCTTTGTTTATATCTATGTAATTTTTAACTTGCTATAATGGTTCAATTTTCTCCAATCCCGATGTTGTCTAATCCGACCAAAATTTTTGGAACCACTGGTCGCCGGATTAGACAAGTTTTACTGTATAAGAGGTAAAACATAAAAAGTAAAAAGCATCAAAGTTTAAAAAGACATAAATATGAATAATATTTTCTTGTTTCAAATTTACCACCAAACAAAAATTAATATTTTACTTTTTCAAAACTTGATTATGATGCATTGGATATTCAATCATCTTACTTAAGTTAAAAAGAGGTATTTAAATGCCCTAACTGATAATTATGTACAATGTTGAAGTGTAACCATTTCATAGAAATATGAAAAGCGTGCCCATGCTTTCTTTAGAAGAATAAATTCTTATTTTTTTATTTGTGTTTGTATTCCCTATGTTTGTACCAATTAAAAACTCAGAAAAAATATTTCAGCGTATGCGGCGTTTGACACTATAAGAGCATGCAAAAGCGGTCAATATGGTGTCTGAAGGCGATTCCTCTGGAGAAATTCGTAAAAAATAAAAACAATTAAAAGATTATTCATTCGACTGGGGAAAAATTGTTGCTAATATATTAATAAACATAAAAATGTTTAATATAGATATCCACTGCATTAAGTAAGCACCAAACGACAATTTCAAGATTGTTCCACAACATTGGGGCAACCGGAAGTTGGGTGGACTGGAGAGTCGCCTAAATTCCTTCCAAAAAGTAATTTAGTAGAGGGTTTCTGCGTGGGAAAAACTAAATTTGGTTCATTTTGACCAGTCATCTACAAAAAAATTGAGGTTATGCAAAACATTTAAGCTATTATTTAAGGTTTTCACTATATGATTTCTTTCCTTCGAGAGACAGAGAAAATGCCAAGATAGCGCTAATAAAAACTTCAGAATAATTAAATTTTATTGCACTACACAGGAGATAATAATTATTTAAAGACAATGAAGATGTCATTAAATGGCCCTCCATAAAGTGTGCTCGGTGAAGATAATCAAAATAAACTAAGTAGCGTATTGCAGGAATTATTTTTGATGAGAGATATGACTCTAAATATAACTACTAAAAATGTATATTAAATATTTAATAGGCATAATTCAGTGCCTCAAAAATATAATTTAATGTTTGTTGCATCCAAAAAAGATATCAGACTTGGCAACAACTATAGGAACTGGTAATGTTATTCTTGTTTTTTGATTTGTATATAATCCTTTTTTTTTTCGCTTTCACTGATAAACGGATGAATTCAATAAATTGATATTATCTGATTAGTGACATTTTCATTTTCTATTCGGTTTTAATATAATCTATTTTTAAGAAAAACTATTCATCTAGAATGTTCAACATAGAGTCAATTCCAGAATTAAATGAAAGAAATACACATTTATCATGTCCTGTAAAAGTAGTTTCCACTATCTCATCAACCCACTCATTTCCTTCTTATCCATATCCTAGGTGTAGAATCCTTATTCTGGCTGTAGTATCCATATCCTGAGTGTAGGATCAATATCCTGAGTGTAGCATTCATATCCTGGGTGTAGTTCCCATATCAGAGTGAAGGATCCATATTCGTAGTGTAGTATCAAATCATGGGTGTAGCTTTCATAACCTGACAGTAGTATCAAATCCTGTATGAAGTTTCCATAGCCTAGGTGAAGTATCCATATCCGGGTTGTAGTGACCATATCCTAGGTGAAGTTACGATATTTTGGGTGTAGTATCCATATCCCGAATGTAGTATCCCTATCCTGGGTGTATTATCCATATCCTGAGCGTAGTATCCGTATCTTTGGTGTAGTATCCATATCCTAGGTAAAGTATCTATATCCCGGGTGTAGTATCCATATCTAGAGTGTAGTATCCATATACTGGGTGTTGTATCCACATCCTTAGTGTAATATCCGTATCCTGGGTGTAGTATCCATATCCTAGGTAAAGTATCTATATCCCGGGTGTAGTATCCATGTCTAGAGTGTAGTATCCATATACTGGGTGTTGTATCCACATCCTTAGTGTAATATCCGTATCCTGGGTGTAGTATCCATATCCTAGGTAAAGTATCCATATCCTAGGTTTAGTATACTTATCCAGAGTGTAGTTTCCATATACTGAGTGTAGTATCCGTATCCTATGTGTAGTTTCCATATTCTGGGTGAAGTATCCATATCCTGAGTGCAATGTATGTTATGTTTAAGGCATGTGTCTCAGGGGAAATAAGTGACTTACACTATGACTGAAATTAGGATAAATTTGAAATAAAATGCAATCAAAGATAATTGTACATAATTATATATAATTTAATTTCGTTTGTATTCTAGCCTCTGATTGGTTAATATCCAAAAAGGAACACAAATTATTTCTGTATAACCTGGATTGGTATGGGGACACATACCCCTGACAACCAGCTGAATCATCTGTATCCATACAATCCTCTCATTTCCAGTCCTCGGGATTCATGGAAAATTCCAGATTTAATAAATGTACCTTTAACTTCAAACAATAATTCGATCTTACCACATGTAAACAAACAACAAGGCTGCTAGGTTATGTATAAGTTTTTACCTCCCCTCGCTTCTCATCACTTCCGTTACTTCTGTTACTACGGTTGTATTATTGAGCGGCAAATTTGAACTAATAAAAAGCAACGAAATTTTACACCCATAGTTATTTAATGATTTTAAAATAAAATTATAAGGAATGACTCTAATTCTTGGCCGAATTATTCGAGTATAACCTGGTTTGGGTTAGTTTACGCTTTATAATCCGCGAAGAATTAGAGTCATTCCTAAAATATCTTTTTGTGTCTTCTTTTCTCATTCGACCTATCTTTATGAAATGTTTTCCAAAATGAGTGATATTTGAATAACACCGTTGTCTAGTATTTAGCTTTGGGATAGATAACATTTACCATATCAACTTTGTTGTTGGATATAATGTAAACTTTCATGAATAGAATCTTCTTCTGAATTTGTTTCCTCTACTCATTTTTACGCTTCTGCATTCCTTTTCAAATTTTAAAATTTCAGTCCTATAGAAATTATTAAATAATTGGACCAGTTGCAAATTGATACTTGTGACCTGTTGACAAGGGATGCCTACTCCTCCTAGACACCTGATTCCAACTCTGGTGTATCCCGGGAATGGTATATTTTTCCTGTGCATGGTTTGTACTGTAAATAGGATTTATAAGATTGATCAATGCTCGTTATCTTCACATATTTTATTTTCATAAAGAGCAAGTATGACATTTTGAATGATAAACATGACCTTGAATATTTGAAAATACAGTCAAACCTCATTATCTTGATATCAATGGGGCCAAGAAAAAAACTTTGAGATATCCGAGGATTCAAGATATTGAGGTTAAAATACATAAATAAAAAATGATAGGACTTCAAAAATCACTTTAACATACCCAAGGTATTCGAGATATCGGAGTTCCAGATACAGATGTTCAGCTGTATAAGTACATGTACTCTTGAAAATCTTTTGAACAACTTTGCAATAGAGAAAAAGAAAAAGTTGGAAACGAATGCTAAATTCCGAGGTTAATCCAAAAGAATCCCATAGAAAT